CACTTTTTTAAATTTGTTAGTCACTTTTCCAACTATTTCCAATTTTAAACTCTAGTGGCAACCCTAGTATTATGATTAGCTAACCAGGCTTATTATACATAGTACACTTGTTATTGCTATCACCATGTATCAAGCATTGTTATAACCATTAGAGGCTTACAATAAACACTGTATTATTACCTTACTTGTTTCTTACTGCATTATTATTCATAGGCGTGAGGGTGTACTTGGTGTTTCGCTTGATACACCAAGCATCGAGAGTGCATACAGTAATAAAATACCTTACAAAATAACATAAATATACCTAACATAAGAAAAAAAACTGGAAAAAAACTTGAACACTGGAATTAAATGCACCAAATTCATAGTATATGTAAGTAGGTACTCAATTAGGTGTCTAAATTAATAAATTGAGTAATACTCAAATATTTTTCAAAAGTATTTGAAATAATCTTCAAATACAAGAAATGATTTTTTTTTTTACTTTTTAGTTCTGATATAATTTGTTAAAATCGAAAATTTGTTAATTGCATTTTAAAACATGATTTCTTCATTATTCAGGTTCTTGCAACTTGGTAGGTATTTCTTTTTATTTTATTTATTTATAGTAGGTACCTTTATTTATCCTTACTTCGTGTATCGTTTGATACATCAAGCATCGAGTGCGCATACATTTTTTGATGACCTCGACGTGATACATTTAATTCTTTATCAAGTTGTTTGCTGATATGTTAAACTTGTAAGTGTAATAGTTGGTTTGTTGTTTCCCTCTGGTGTGTTACAGGTTATTGTAGTTTAGTTAATCACTGTAACAATCAAAAGTTGTAAATCATAGACTGACAGTACCAATAGTTTATTTTTAAGTCAACCAATTATTGTCTTGTAGGGCAAATTAAGTCTAAACCACGCTGTCAGTAAAAATCAGTCAAAAATCACCGTGGTTTCATTGTTAATTTTGTAATTTCTTAACTTGTTTTTTGTTATTCTTTCTATTGTGAGATAAGCACTTGGTACATAACACTTCTTTTTGTAAAAACAGGTATGGCTGCCAAAGCGGTTAAGAAGAAACTTAAGACTATCGCCTCTGAACTTGCAGCGCTATTGTCATTCAGCTCTCAGTTTGATGTTTCAACTGGTAACATCAACGAGGTGCATGTAAGGATCGAATGCTTGCCTGATATCTCGGAGAGATTTGAGCTGCTTCAAACCGAGCTAGGGACGAGGCAACGTATTACTGAACGATTGACACACAAAGATCTTCTGTTCAGTGTCAAGGCATCTTTAATGAGTCTGTTGGATTCCAAGCAGAAGAATAGTTCAAGTGCTCCATCAATCAGTGAGGTGACAAGACCTGATGGTGAAAGTTTAATGAGACTTCCGCCAATCGATGCACCAAAATTCAATGGCGACTGGCAGATGTAGATGTCGTTTATAGACTCATTTAATGCCATGTTTCATACAAACAAGAAACTGGCCCCATTTCAACGGTTGCATTATTTAAAGAGTTGCTTAGAAGGACAGGCTCGTGAGGTCATCAGGCCAATTCCTACGACCCGGAGAAAACTATTTACAAGCTTACAACACACTAATTAACAGATATGAGAACAAGGGTGCCATTATTCAATCACACATCCGGTCACTCTTCGACACACCAAGGGTACATACTGCTTCTCACACAGAGCTACAAAATCTTCATCGTCATTTCGAATGTCAACGCACTAAGGGCTGCAACGCAACCAGTTGAGTCATGGGATGTGTGGTTAGTAACATTGATCTGTAGTCGCATCGACAGCGCCACAGTGGCCGAGTGGCAGCTACACTATAATAAAAAGGACTTGCCATCCTTTACTGAAATCAAATCGTTCTTGTTTAACAGAATCGCTGCTTATGAAGCTGGTGAAATGAACAGCCACAAGGTTGGTTCCTATCCAGTGCCTGTAAGTTTGATCCCATCATTGTTCAACAAACAGAAACTTTTTAAATTTAACGACAAGAAAATTCTGTTTGCCAAATATAACGAAAGCAAACCTAAGTGTGTCTCATGTAACTCTGAGAATTACTTATTTCAATGTATGAAGTTTAAAAATTTGTCAGTTGAGGATTGCAGAGATGTTGTATTCAAGAATCGGTGTTGTTTCAACTGCTTGCGATCTGATCACCAAGTGCGTCAATGCAGATCGTCATCATGCACCCAAAGTGGAAAAAGACACAACACTTTGTTGCACGTCATCTATGATGATCAGGAGGCAGATCAACGTAATGACGATAACCAGTCAGTTCAGGGTTCAAGTAGTGCGCCACCCAATGTAGTCGGTTGTGGTATGGTAAACAGAACAGTACATTGTTAGCCCACTATTCAGGTTGAATTGGCTACAGCTGTGGTTTATGTGAATGACGCAGCAGATAACGTGATGCGTTGCAGGGTAGTACTTGACTCAGGATCACAGTTGTGTTTCATCACTAACATACTGGCTCGACGCCTCGGGTTACAGATAGTCAACAATACGGTACCTATTACCGGTGTCGGGCAGTCAAAATCATCTACCAGCAAATTTTGTATGGGTACAGTGCAATCTCAGTTTGTCCAGACACAGTTCCAGGTGCAACTTCATGTGTTACCTACTATCACCGGCGACCTTCCAACACAGGGGTTTGACACAAATCAATTAAACATCCCTCGTGAAATACAATCAAGCCCAGCTGATCCTGAGTACAGCAAACCTGGGTCTATCGACATGTTACTTGGTGCTGAAATATTTTTTGATATTTTAAGACAAGATAAACACATAGTGTCGGAGCATGCTGCCTTCCAGGACACTGTGTTCGGTTGGATTTTGGTGGGTAAAGTACTCACCCAACCGTCTTTGGTATCACTGGTACGTCCGGTCATAAATCAATGCTCTGCATTATCGTTATTCACATCGACAGTGTCTAGACGGTTATGCAAAGAGGAAGGAGCCGTGGAACAGCATTTCACACAAACCTCTCGTAGAAATGAAAGAGAACAATTTGTGGTCTGACTTCCGCTGAAGGAACATCCCTTGTGCATAGGAAATACAAGCATTATAGCTAGGAAACAATTTCTTAATCTCGAACAGAAATTGATCAAAGGTATTGTCAAATGAATACGACAAATTTTTGATGGAGTACTTGAAGTTAGGGCACATGGAAACAATTGGACAATTCAATGAAACCCAATCCAACGAATATTACATACCTCACCATGCAGTCTTCAAAAGCACCAGTATAACCACAAAGCTACGAGTAGTGTTTGATGCATCTACTATATGTTCAACAGGGAAGTCTTTAAATGACTTGCTCATGAAAGGTCCAGTTGTCCAACCTACTTTGTATTCCACACTGTTGCGTTTTCGAGTCCATCAAGTAGCCCTCACAGCAGATATCGAGAAGATGTATCGACAAATACTGATTCACAATGACGATTGTTAGGTACAAAAAATAGTTTATCGGTCAAAGCCAACTGATGAGCTTCAAGAGTTCATGTTGAAAACAGTAAAGTATGATACAAAAACTGCCCCGTACTTAGCCACCAGGTGCCTGATACAGTAAGTTGGTGAACACATGCAATGATCCCGACTTAGCAAGAATCATCCAAAGGGAATTCTATGTAGATGATTTATTGTCAGGAGCAGACATTGATGAACAATGTCATGTGATTTTCCAAAAACTCACTAGTGTACTCAACAGGGGCCTTTAATTACCATTAAGGAAGTGGTGCTCAAATTCGTCAACAATTCGTCCTTGTTACCTACCACCACTGCTGATAATTACATAATAACATTGTCAGAATCCGAATCGGTGAGTGCGTTGGGTTTGTAATGGCAATCAAGCACAGATAGTTTTAGATTTGTCATGAAACCATGGACTCCACCTAAGCGAATGACTAAGCGTAGTCTATTATCAGATATCAATAGTATTTATGATCCCATTGGTTTAATTACTCCAGTACTCATCAAAGGAAAAGTATTTTTACAACAGTTATGGAGTCTGAAAATCTATTGGGATGAAGTACTATCAGATGACATTTGTTCAAGGTGGACAACCTTCTATTCCAGTCTCCTTCAACTTGTTGATTTGTCAGTACCTAGAAAGGTGTTACTCGCAGATGTTGTCACGCTTCAAATACACGGCTTTTGCGACGCGTCTCAATTGGCATTTGGTGCATGTGTGTACCTGAGGTCGGTCGCACTTAACTGCAGTGTGTATATACACTTGTACACATCAAAATCCAGGGTTTGCATTAATGAAGGCCACGACTATACCGTGGCTCGAGTTATATGGTGCTGTGATATTAGCCTGAACTAGCGCAGTCTCTACTCTTGACTGGGGCCACCATGGTTAAATCAAGAGTCAACTGCATGGCCAGACTGTCCAGCGTTACCAACAGAGATGCCTGAAGTTAAACCTATGAAATTTGTCTTATCAGCATCCCAGAATCATATTCGGACTGGATGAAGTTGTTGCGGATCTCAACTCTTAAGACTATTCTGTGTTAAAAAACAAACAACAAGTTTCCCGTCGCAGTTGCTTAAAACAGTTAAGTCCGTTCATTGATGAACCTGGACTTATTCGTGTTGGAGGTCGTTTGATGAATGCTTCCATAGTAAACTCCATGAAGCATCCCATCGTATTACTATCCGCCAACCAAGTTACTCAATTACTATTTAAATTTGAACATGTCAGGTTACTGCACGTGGGACCATTGGCATTGTTAGCACATATCAATAATCATTATTGGGTCATTAGAGGTCGGTGCATAGCAAGATCCACTGTAGGTCGCTGTATTCAATGTTTCAAAACCAGTCCTAGATTTGTATCCCCATTCATGGCACCCCTTCCACGTGAGAGAGTGACCATCGCAAGATCTTTTGCAGGAACTGGTGTAGACTATTGTGGCCCGGTCATGGTGCGAAGTGGATTGAGGAAGGTTACTCCTCTGAAAAGTTACGTGTGCGTTTTCATCTGTTTAGTAACCATATACAATATCAATACATCTCGAGTTAGTGTCGTCATTGTCAGCAGACAATTTCATTAGCACCTTATCTAGGTTTATGGCTCGCCGTGGGCAATGTCAAGAATTGTTCAGCGATAACGGGACCAACTTTGTCGGTGCAGATCGAATCCTGCAAACGCATATTCAGGAATGCCAAAAGAGTACCAAAGTACACAACTTTTTAAGCAGCCGAAGAATTGACTGGCATTTCATACCACCGTCAGCACCTCACTTTGGTGGCAATTGGGAGGCTGCGGTCAAGTCAGCCAAAAAACATTTGTTGCCTGTCTCCAAAGGTGTTATGATGACGTTCGATGAGACTACCACATTACTATGCCGCATAGAAGCAGTGTTGAATTCATGGCCATTAACACCACTGTCAAGCGATCCTTCTGACTTCAATGCTTTGACAGCCAGCCATTTCTTGATAGGGAGTCCATTACAGCTCCCATCTGAACCAGATTGTACAGCCATTCCACAGAACCGTCTGCGTCAATTCAAACTCATGCAAGCACAATCACAGAATTTTTGGAAACGATGGTCTTCTGAGTATTTGCCCCAGTGTCAACGACGTGGCAAGTGGACCAAACTCACTCGCAACATTAAAGTAGGAGACTTAGCAGTTCTGAAGAATGACAACAGCCCACCACTGCTATGGGACCTAGTTCGTGTTACCAAAGTTCATCCGGGCCCTGATGGAATTGTACGAGCAGTCACGGTACGGAATTCTTCGGGGTCTGACTTCAAGCGTCCAGAAAACAAGTTGGCTGTTCTACCCACTGAGAACGATGAAGTCGGAGAAGAGCAGAACGCGTCCTAAAATGTTTGTATTGTATTCCTTGCTCATTTGTAATGATTGTTAAGTATTTGTTGACTGTTGTGGTTCATGTATTCAAATTGTCATATTTAGTCAGTCATACAGTCCACAGTTGTTGTAATTTTTGAAACGCATTTCCCTTTCAAAAGGGGGGAATATGTTGGCACCATTTGTCATTATTATGTTTTTGTGATTATTGGTCGACCATTTATGTTCAAATTAGTATTACCAGCCAACAGGCTCATATTATTATTGATATTGTTGTAGCCGACGGGCTCTAGTCATTATTATTGTTATAGCCAGCAGGCTCATACTATAATTGTCATTAATTGCCAGCAGGCTCATATTATTGTTGTAATTTGCCGCATACTTTATTATATTTTAAGTAGCCAACCAGGCTCATTGTTCAATTGGTTTTTACATTATTATTATATTTCTCTATTATGATTAGCTAATCAGGCTTATTATACATTGTACACTTGTTATTGCCATCACCATGTATCAAGCATTGTTATAACCATTAGAAGCCTACAATAAACACTGTATTATTACCTTACTTGTATCTTACTGCTTATAAATTATTTGGGCTTGGTAACTCAATTGGGTATAGTCGTATAGATATTTAGTTTTTAATTTTTGAAAAGCAGTTAAGGTATACCAATTAGATATCTAGTTAAATTAATAATATTAATAATGGTCTGAAATAAGTCGCACGATTAAACTGCCACAGGCTGCTCTGCGATCGCTATGGTTGCTACTTAAAGCCACGTAGTAGGTATTTTGATTATTCATGTTTTTTGCGTTTGTTTGGAAAATATATTCATTATTTTGAACCATGATTCCTTTGAAACTACTGTATAGCTTGTACGATTACGCATTTATACATGACGTGCATAATATGTTTATATTGCATTAAAATTCAATATTTTAAGAAACAAATATGAGTATAACGATACATATCGGTATAAAATGTTTATGGAATATACACATAATATGCACACGTAATAAGTCATTGTCATATTATATCACACAATAAATAGGTACATATTATATTTGTTTTATTAGGAATTATTATAATTGCATATTTTTTCAAAATTTCCATGATTGTTATATAAATATAGTTTGTAATTTATTTCGGATTGCCTATCTAGGTGGCTAACTTGAAAGTTAATCTTGATTTTGACTTGACATGACTGACTTGCTAGACACACCAACACGGTTTTCGACTTTACACTTTTTACATAAGAAAAGGCACCGGACATGCGAAGGCACATACCACTATATGATATACCTACTATATATAGGTGATAGACGGATTGCTCATTTTAGTTTCGTCATAAACGGTGATGATTGACTTGATAGACACTTTAACATGCAGGTTTTTGCATTTTTTTTTAAATTAATATATTATATACACTATAGTTACATGTTTATATGTATTGTATTGGTTAATATAATAGCATATATCTCAGGGACTAAAATTGTGTGTAGTACGACACACTTTGTGTAGTACGAGATACTAAGTGTGGAATACGAAATTAAAAAGTGTGTAATGGCCTGTAATAATTACTATAGGTACTAGCTTTTATTTACACTTTTTTCTTCATTAATTGAAAAATTATTTGATGTTTCGTTGCCCGTTGAGAAATAGATAGATAAGAATTTTAAATATTAATAATAATTATTACTTATTATTAGGAGTCGATTTTACAAGTTTTACTTATAGATACAATATTTAAAATATTAAAAAATAAAAATATTTCGAAAAATCGATACAAATTACAAATAATTATCAAACAATAAAGTTACTGAATGTATTTACCTATATTTTTTTAAAAGAACCATAAACATATTTATCTATGTTGTTTCAAATCAAAAACAAAATAATGTTATTGTTAATGTTTGGACACTGTTTATTATACAATCATTTTTTTAATGATAGCTATTCCTAAACCTTGTGTTTGCTTATAATTAAATATTAACAATGTGGTAATTACATTAATTAGCTTTTAAAAAAACATTTAATCAATCAATTTCATGTGATTATGTGAGTACCTACCTAATATTGAAGTCTAGGATGTTTTTTTCCTAGAATCGGGGATTTTTATTTCGCAATTCACTGTCTATAATAGGTATTGTATAGTATTATTATAGTTCTGTACATTTATTGCAATATTATGTATAATACCGAATTAATTATCGTACCAATATATGGACATAAATCGTTAACTTGCGATGTAGTCTATACTCTGTAGATGAAGAAAAATAGAAATTGATTACTCTATGTTTATGTGTATAAATTCAATAGACTTTTTTTGGTGGGGTGGCAAAGCCCCTCGCGGTAACTAAAATATTAATATAAAATGTGTAGTACGAAAAAAATTATATTTTAGCCTCTGAATTATATCTAACTATCTACCTATATGTTAATTTTTTTAGGAATTATAATTGCACATTTCTCAAAATGTTCATTGTTATATTATATCACACAATAAATACATATCAATATATCATATTTGTTTGTATGTATATTGTATATAGTTTGGATTTTTCGTAAATTATTTCGTAATTATTTTGTGATAGGGTTTTCACTTATAGCCGCTTGATGTCGGGTCTGCAATCCACCGCAGGTGGATTGCCTACCTGATTTGCTGTAGCACATTGTCCGCGATCCGACGAAGTCGGATTGCCTACGTAAGTGGTTAACTTGAAAGTTAATAGATTTTGACTTGAGATGGCTGACTTGCTAGAAACTCCATCACGGTTTTCGACTTTACACTTTTAACATAAGATAAAGCACCGGTCATGGTATGTGCAGGTATACTCTATATAGGTGATCGTGGAGATCGTATCCAGCCTGTCCATTTACAACGATTGTGACGGATTGCTAGGCCCTCAAACTTTTAACATTCCCGCCCAAGCGTCTAGCCTTATCTCCAATCCATATCACTAATCCTTATCACAAATCCTAAACTTTCGTCTTACAACCTTTGCGCCTTTTATAATTCATTGTCTCCAAAATCGGTACCCACTCCCAGCGAGTCCAACGGGCCCCGAGTTACACTCAGAGCTAGTATTAATAATATAATATAATGGTCTGAAATAAGTCGCACGATTAAACTGCCACAGGCTGCGCTGCGATCGCTATGGTTGCTACTTAAAGCCACGTAGTAGGTATTTTGATTATTCATGTTTTTTGCGTTTGTTTGGAAAATATATTCATTATTTTGAACCATGATTCCTTTGAAACTACTGTATAGCTTGTACGATTACGCATTTATACATGACGTGCATAATATGTTTATATTGCATTAAAATTCAACATTTTAAGAAACAAATTTGAGTATAACGATACATATCGGTATAAAATGTTTATGGAATATACACATAATATGCACACGTATGGATGCGTAATCTTACGATCTATACAATTTAAAAGTAGCAACCCTAGTGATCGCATCTCAGCCTGAGTCCGTTTAATTGTGCCCCTCATTCCGGAACGTTTTTTCATGCGGGCGGTCGTACGAGTTTGGTCTCTTTATCATGGTCTTAATGAGCATAATATATTATCTTAGCTCTACAGTCTACGACAAAAACTGGTCAGTCGGTTTATCTTTATATGCTCTTGCCGCGTAGTGGTGGAGGTGGAATCAATCTTCAGCTGTTGTGTGACACGTCTCCGCCGTCGGGTCATTTTTTAGTCACGGCCATATAGTGTTATACCTACGAGGGTTAAAGCATATTCGCAGCGGACGTTTTGACTATGGTTATAACTGGTAGCCATATTGGTTTAATACTTGAGCTATAGCCCATAGACATTATACTAATAGACTGAACATCCGCGGGACATGCGATACAGGGAGCACGCGTATTAATTAATCAACTAAATCACACGATAAGTGCAAAATATTTTTTTGTAGAATTTTAAATATTTAATACACCAATAATGGATTTTTCGTTACTGGTAAGTTAACTATTAAACAGGAAAATAATTATTGTAACTCAATATTCATGAACTCAACATTTACCAGGAACCAACATTGTACACAGTGAAGGGCATGGCTATTTTGGACAATGATGGCAATCGCATACTGGCCAAATACTATGATGATAATATATTTCCAACGAATAAAGAACAAAAAGCATTTGAAAAAAACCTATTCAACCGCACTCATAAAGCAAATGCAGAAATTATCATGCTGGACGGAATAACATGTCTTTACAGAAGCAATGTGGACCTGTTTTTTTATGTCATGGGAAGTTCACACGAGAACGAAGTAAGTACACTGTCTGAAGTATATCATGTAAATTGCATATTTTATACATGGTATTTTTATATTTCAGATGTTATTGATGAGCGTCTTACAATGTATGTACGATTCAATCAGTCAAATTTTAAGGAAAAATGTAGAAAAACGAGTCGTACTTGATAACTTAGATGTTGTCATGTTGGCGTTGGATGAAATTTGCGATAATGGGTAAAATTGCATCATATCTTATAATCTTAATATACTAATATGAGTAGATTGAATTTATATTATACTTTACACTACAGTCCTGTATTAATACATGTCTGCACACACTACTGCGGTGGCACTAAAATTCTACCGTATTGACAGTTCCGCAACAGTAGAGATAAATTTGGATAAATTATGTCACTTCTGTAGCCAGGGGTTAAAGTGGGAAAAAAATACCAGAGGGGACTAATGTCTCCATATAGTTTTAAGCGTTCCATATATAATTTTATGTATAATGTCTAATGTATAAAATCTTAATTTGTGAAAGGGGGCGCTTTTTAACTGCCGACAAAGGTAGGGGGGCTGAGTCCTCCTGCGTCCCCTCCCCACTTTAACACATTCACTGCGTATCATATTGTGTTAACCTCTGACAGTAGCAGTAACATAAGTATGTTTAGACACTAAAAAATGTATTTTCTACAGTATTATATTGGAAGCCGATTCTGGTGCAGTTGTAAAGAGAGTAGCACTACGAACCGATGACATACCAATTGGGGAACAAACTGTTGCACAAGTAAGCTATCTATTATATAATTAGTATTCTAATTATATATAATCGTATTATCATAACATATATTAAACATAATATGTACATTTTTCTTTAGGTTTTCCAGTCAGCAAAAGAACAGCTGAAATGGTCATTATTGAAATAGTGCATATTTTTTAAAAATCTTTCAGGTATAAGATGTTAACATAATACATACCATTATTTCCATGGTTTATATAATACTATATATATTTATAACTTATAATTAATACACATTAAATTTATAGATAATCTTGAGGAAATTGTAATTTTTTTTCTAACCAATTAGCAAACTGCAACAATCTTATGTCATCAAAATTTGATGCCATTATTTGTATGCTGATTGGCATCTTATTACTTGATAATTTTACTGGTATAGTAATAGCTGGACAACCTAGAATGTTAAATTATTATTGAACATAGTATACTCAATATATAAAACTCTATAATCTAGAATAATATTCAATAATTCTACACTTACCAGTCATATTTGCTGGTTGGGTACAATAATCTTGTGTAGCACATTGTGTACGGTTATCTAAAGACTTAAATTCAGATAGTAGTGGAGCGGTACTTAATGTAGTAGGTGTAACTAAAAAGTCATAGTTAGATTTCCATACGTTTTTAAAATCATCTGATATCAATCGTCTAACTTTTAATGATTGCATGAAATACTTTTCATAATTACTGAAATCAAATAATAAATTATATCACAACCCCTTAAAAACATGCAATAATAGTATAATACTACTTGTGTCCCAAATGTATAAGCACTGGTAACTTGCAAATGTTTCTCATAAATTATTGTCACTGGTAAATTCCATCTAGACAGTCTGGATACAAGTTACCAATAATAACAAGTATTACAACATTTAGTTAACATGCTGTGTATCATTAAATAATCAAATAGGAAGTTATAAAGACAAATATAAACAATTTTGTTTGTAATAACATATTCACTATTCATTATTTTTAAATAATTATTAACTATACTCTATTCCATGAGAGAATAATCACTTTTATCGCATCACAAATAATTCAATAATTGGTGCGCCGAGAACTACATGAACACGCTAACACCGGGTAGTTGGAGGGGGATGCACAGCACTGACAAGAATTGGTCTACCGACTGATTATTCGCTAGTATAATTATATTTTAAATTGTACAGTACAAAATTTATAGTGATAGTATAATTACCATCTATCTAGTCACTACAAAATAAGATTAAAGTAGTTTTACTGCAATTTACTAATGTATTAAGTATTTAATGGTTACACAACCACAACAATATATGATATACATATTTTATTTATATCAATTGCAAAATGTATGTAGCTGGGTAAATTAATAATAGATAAAATAAATTGTAATTACAATTTTTCAATCTTATTAATTTATAGTGACTAGATTGTACCTATATATAGGGTATAACAATGTTATTGTCTGTTATTAATTTTATCAATTATATTTATATGCTATTTAGTATTCATTAAATTAATACTTAAGTCCTAAATCATTATTCTATAGCCACTATTAGCTCTACATTTTCTATAAAAATAAAATTGTTTATACTTTGGCTTATATCTGCAGTTGGCTCGTTCAAACTTTCAAATAACCGTCAGCTTAAAGTGTCCTTTATTTTTTCATCCAATAAGTTTAGGATTTTTTCTGATTTTTCTTCAAATGTAGAAATTAGATTAGAGCAACCTGGGATACATTGTGTTAAAATCTATGTCGACCTGAAAATATTATTTTAATTGTTAAGTTATAAATAATGTAGTACCTATAACAAATTACTATTTTTAATATTTTTAAATTAAAATAAAGTAAAAATTACTAGTCTGTATCCCAAAGGTAATTTATAGTTGCTCCAGTAGTCCAGTTGTTAAGTATATCATGAGTAGAGGTTGAAGTTTGAATACTTTTTAAATGGAACTGTGTTGTTGCTTTCCAGTTATATTCTAAGTCAGGGAAAGAACAATTATTATCGTGTTTGATTTGTTCAAGAATATACTGTACATCATTTTCTGGTTCTGCAACATACCAATTCAATAAAGATAAGTATCATAATTTTAACAATTGGGGGCACTTAAAGAACATTTTAACTACAAGGCTTAAATATTAAGTCTGAATAACATACCAAAATGTAAAACGTGTTTGCGATTAATTGGATTGGTTGGTCGTTTTGTATGATTGCTAGAGGGTATTAGACCGCTGTTTTTTAAAGTTCGCATAGAGTTGTAATATTTAGCATACAGCTTACCCTTTGGATTTTTGTTTGTATCATATTCTAAAAAATATGAATCCTAAAAAGTTAGAAAAGATGAGTAAAACAGAATAAATATAATAATAAATAAAAATACCAATTTTTACTTCTGTTGGAAATATATCAGCAATTTGATCAGCAAGACTATTAGCGAAGGCTACAGACATGGATATTTTCTTAGTTATGACATAATTGATAATAGTATCGACCAACAATGTTCTTATATTGTCATTAAATTTGTGATTTGTCTTAAAATAGTCATTGATCATTAATCCAGTTGAGCACTCATTTAAAATTTCTCCAAGATTTATGGATATGGCTGAAGAAAGTTTTTTGTCCAAAGTAGTTGGAAGCAGTGATGTCATAGAAGATGATTTTTTTGAATTTCGCCACTTTTCTAAGTTATTAGAAAATAATATTTTAATGCCAAGTGGGTAATTTTTCAAAAGTTCATTAGTGTGATAGTCAACTTCCATAATTTGCCAAAATTTTCAAGTCAATTAGTTCATCTAAAATAAGTTAAGTTAATGTAAGCAAACTTGTTTTGTAATTGTGATTAGAATTGCAATATAAGTGAATTATTATATTACCAAGTAAAGTTTGATAAGTACATTCCAAATTCCACTCTTTTAGTAAATCGTGCAAAGGTTGTAAGTCTTCAACTGGATATACGTAACCTTGCAGAAATGGCATAACTATTGTTGAAGACTGTAAATTAAAAATGTTATTAAGGGATTAGTTAAAAGCTGGATAATAATTTATTTTAAAATGGCTATTTTTTAAGACAAGTCACAAGTGTTTGTAAAATTATTTTGTAAGTGGATATATTATAAATTATAATACTTGCAGCATTATCAGTATTAATCAAAGCATCAACACAATTCAAATCATCAGAACAATTCATATCACCAGCAGAGTTCAAAGCATCAACACAATTTGATTCAACAGCATAATGTGAATTCATATATGTTTCTGTTAGTCCATCCATTATTATTTTACTTGAAATTATACTGTAATCTAATAAATGCTAAAATACTAATTAAAGATTTAAAAAAAATAATATATACAAATATGAAAATAAGGTTATATTAATAAGGCTATATTATTATATACATAGAATTACGGTTGGAAAATATAAATTATTAAAACAATTCTTTTAGACGGATCATTAATCTGCCTGATGAAGTTGGTGTAATGTTAATAGGGGGTCCACTGAATTCTTCTATTTTAAAAATCAAACAATTATTTACAATGGTTCTGTCTTTATCAACTTCGAATGATTCAAGATGTGAATTAAAGTTTTCTATTTTAATCTGTTTAACTATTACATAGATTATTAAAATGGGATTATCAATAACCACTAATTCTAATATCTCAAATAAATTAATTTCTTCAATAAATGTTGTTAAATAATATCCTCTTTTGTAAACTGTCCCCATGAACTTTATTTGATTGTAACAAAAAAAAAAACATGTGCCATTTGTGGTAAGAGAAATTTCGGTAAGTATAGTATTTGAATATAAGCTGCGTTGTAATATATACAACGCTTTTGTTTCAATACAGTGTGCAGAGTATTAATAGGTTGTAGTAAAATGTAAGAAAATTTATACTGACATTTTTTTGCTAATGTCAAAGTAATATTTTTCCGTGATGATGTGGTACGTGCATAAGCTTTAAGTTCCTTGTGTTTTCCCACAAAGCGAATAAGCACCAATAATGTCTTGGAGGTCCTGCATGTTGAATAATATTGCGATAATGCGTTAAGAAATGATGCTTAGGTTTTAATGTATCATTAAATAGCCTTATATACATAAAGTTATGCTGATGTATTAGTTGTTTAAGATATTCAATTTTGCTTTCAGTAAACTTGTATGATAGAAGCATATCAATTATCTTAACAAGTGTTAAATAATATTTCCAAGCTTCATCATTTTCAGGAATAAATTCACCAACCATGATAGAAAAAAAGTGAACAAATGTCATCATTTCTCTAGCTGACATCTTTAAATGGCATTTGTTTAAATGTTGTTCAGTAATTTCAGGAGATATATTACCAACTTCAATTGGTCCATAATTAAAATTAGTTTTTTGTTTATTTAAAGTGTACAAAGAAATAATCTGTGCCGTGTTAGTATAATATTTAATAATGTGACACATATCATAATGACATATGCCTTCAAAGATATCGTGCATAATATCTACACAATAATTTTTTATGACATGGAAATGTTCAATACAGTTTAAAATTGAGTTTTTATAAATTCCAGTCTCACTGAAATTCATTTGGGTTACATCTTCTAAGTAGTTATTAGTATTACGCATAGATGAGCCATTTTCTTCACAAAGCTTATTTGTAATATTTTTATGAGTCTTACAAAACCGGCAATAATAATTGGAAGAAAATGAATTACTGAATTCAAGTATACTGTTGAGCCCCAAGTTGTCCCCCAAAATTAATCCAAGAATAAAATAAACTTTAAAGTCACCAAGTTCTGTTGTAATAATTATTCCTTCATTAGCAAGATAATTAATTTCATCAATTATTTGCAATAAATATGGATCATTTCCGAATTCTTTAAAATCAGCTGATTTAATTAATGCAGCTAGAAATATATTTGATAGTTTAGAATTATTTTCAATAACAGGAAAACTATAGTAAATGGCTGCAATAGATTGATATGTAGCATGAGATCCTAGTGGGTTATTTATCTCAAAATCATCAATGTACAAAAAGTATGGAAAAACTATTTTTCCTTCATATTGAGATGTTTTTTGTTTCCATAAATTTCCTTGTACAAAATTTGAGAAAGATGTTTTGTCAGTTTGGAAATTAACTAGCCTATCATAATTTGTTTTGAAATTGTTACTATGTTCGAAAAATTGTTTAAATTGGAATTGTAATGGTAAGAGAGCCCCTTTAGTTACTTTTTCGTTAAAACAAATCTCACCACTATAAGAAACAGGACCCATTTGATTATTAATAGTTATCTGTTGGACTTTGCATAACAAGTTATTGCTTATAAGCCAATTATTTAAGTGATACTCTGTACTGCAATAACTAAATGGATCTAGTATTAATCCCTCAAGCCTATTAAAAGTAGAAACTAATATAGGTTCTGAAATATTAATTCTTACCATACTTTTAAGAATGGAGGCTATAGGTTTCAAAATATTTTCTGACATCCCATCTAAAGTACATCACTATTACTGAAATTGTTATTATTGTATAAGCTAACAATACATTTTAAAGTCGATTCATACAATTCTTTTGCAGATTTTCCAAAGTTAAATGTATTTTTAAGTTCATCATAATTATTAATACTATCTGTAGTAGAATATTCTATACTCGGGCCCATATTATATATTTCTTGTACACAGTTACCACTTTGTAGACTAAGAGATGTTGTAGAAAAAACAGCTACATGCTTCTTATTGACATGCCTTTGACTTATACGTATTTTACTATAAAATCATTTTAAAATTTAAAATTTGATAAATGTTGTCTAAAATCAAACTTTAAATGATTATAAA